CTTGTGTCGCTAAAGTTTCGTCGGAACGAAATTACGGAAAGTTAATTAACAAACGGAGACGTAACAAAACAAACGCAACTAATTCGGTTCTTTAGGAAAGTTGTTTTTTATAATTTACCCTGGTTCTAGCTGTTTCTAGGTCTAACATGAACGTAATGACATATTACATCATCAAAAATCCACAGCTTCCTCTAACTAACAATTAAAAACATTAGAAACATTTAGCTTACAACACTACGATTCGTTTTAGTTTTTCAATAGAGATTAGACGCTTATGTTTTCAAACTATATTACGTTAGATACTATGGTAAAAGACTTTCTGAGTGGAACATTAAACAGATAAATCAATTTACAGGTAGACAACTGGCAAATGTAATTAGCTCCGTATTTTTCAAGAAGTTATGTAGCAAATGTGGCAGTATAGGCCTAATATTATGTAATATACTTGTTTTTGAATTAATACCACGAATAATAGTGTGCATTTTCCGTCGCAAACATACAGTGAACGAATTCTTGAGAGAAAGATGTCGAAAAAGAACTTTTAAAAAAAATAAAATATTCACTTGTTTGATGGGACATATTTAAAAAAAAAGTGTAAAATCATGATGAAAACAAATGTTAATCGCTGGACCATTGGACTATTTTATATATTTTTGGGAGAATATTAAGCCTACAGTTTTATTCTTCATGTATCTGAATGGAAGACGTTGAATTAAACTAAAGCAAAAATCACTGTATGTTATCGCAATGTCTTATATTAATAACGAGAATGTGTTAGAAATTTCACTTGACAATAATACTTCCTCTAGTCGTTTTCGGTATTACTTTTGATTACAGACTGAAGGATGTTCATTCTTAATTAAAATAGGCTATATGTCACTTTAGTATTATGTAATGTACATTTAGATGTAACTTGATAGTAATAAAGTAATCTAAAATTGATTTCTCTATGTTCAAGTGTCTAACTATACCGTACTGTTCAAAACAATTAAGGGATAATCACAGTTTTCAGTATTCTAGCTTTAACAAGGAACAATAACAATTGTCGAAAACAAAAATGGAAAAAACTTACACCATGAAAATTGGCTAATGCGAAATAGATGTTTTAATATTCACATCATATCATTCAAATCAGCAATTTTTCGTGACATAAGTGTTTTCA